TTAAAAACGTAAATCCATTTAACACAGTTATGGGAAAATGTAAAGCATATATACGTATATATAGAAAACTAAAAGTCCACTCACCTGAGGTACGCGCTACACTCTCTAGCACGAATATCAAAATGTCTCGAACGATCGTCGCCTAGAACAAATATCAAACAACGTCTCATAATCCTTACTAATAGAACACGTAATTTACATAAAACACATCCCTAAGAATGTTCTAGAATGATTTGAGACCTATTGACCAAAAGTCAACCGTTGGTCAAAGATCGACGGTAGGGTCCACAACCCTACGTAACTCGATCCGGAAGATCCACATCTCAGATTTTTCATCCGTAACTTCCAAAGATCTACATTATGCTTCTAGAACAACATACTAAAGTTTTATTACGATCCAACGACTAGATCTCCGCCAATTGCAAATTCAAGTGGCGGTTAACGTTTTATTTTATAAACTTACAATATCCAATTCGAGAAGATCCATATGTCGGATTCCCGATCCGTAAGTTTCTATGGTCCTTAAATATTACGTACTATAAAATATTAAAGTTTAGTGATGATCCAACGGTCAGATCTTTGATTGCTATAATGTTCAAGTGGCGGACCTTAACGAAATTTCGCCAGATTCTGCAGATTTTGCAGATTTTATGGGCAATCTTTGGAACTCCATATCTCACTTGTTTGTCAACCAAATTCGACCCATAATATACCATAACAAAGCTAGAGAAGTGTAGTACCTAATTGGAGTCCAAATGGTCGCCGGAGATGGCCAAAAAATGGCCAGAAAGACGACTGTCCGCGGGAAAACAAGTAAATTCGCCAGAATTTCTGAGAATCCTTTCAACGTCCATAACTTTGTCAATACTCAACGAAATCAAGTGATTCGAAAACGGAAATCATAGTTCTCAACAAGACGAAGAGATTGGTACCTTACATGGCTTTCTCGCCATGATTTGGCCGTAAAATGCCTCGAAAGTGGAGGAGGTCGCCGGAAACTGGGCAAACTTTAAATTGTTTTAACTTTCTCATTTCTCCACCAAATCACACGATCCAAACATGAAAATTCATCTACACAACATGAGGAATCGATTTATACCAGTTTTGAGTTCAAAAGATGGATGGGAATTGTCTGAATCACGCCTAGAAGTCTCGGCCCAAAACCTTGTTCTTCGAACTCGAGGTTAGGATTCGTTTTCAATGAAACAAAACTCAAAACTGGGTTTATGGTGGTGAAGACATGCAGACAATGGTTGTTTTGATGTTCAACAAGTTGAAATTTTTGGTGATGATGGTGGTTTGTTTCACGGGAGAAAGGGAGAGCCGAGAGAGAGTTAGAAAGTTAGAGAGAAGGGTTACGGAAGAAGAAGAAAAAGAAAAAGGGAGCGTGTTCCAGAAAAGTGGGGGTAGCCCCACGTGGCACTCATCCAATGATCAGACAAAATACCGCCTGTGTTTTAAATGGTAAATTACCAAAATGTCGTCAACGTTTAAAGGTTCGTAGAATCTTTGTTATAACTCCAAATTACATTCCGTTTGCGCCCACGCATCCGTAACGACGAATACTACGAGGATACGCCAAGAAAACGAGTCTTACGTGACACGACACAACAGTCAACAAAAGTCAACGCATTTGACTCGAAGGGCATTTTTGTAATTTCACTTATTAAATTACAAAAAAATCGTAAAATTGGGAATGGGTCATTACAAATGGTTATTGAGATTGTCCACTGTCAATCATTTTGGTCATTTCATGAAAAAGCTCTGTTAAATTAAGGGTATTTTTGTCAAATCAACCTCTCATCTTAAACTGGTGGTTTATTTAAAACAACAAAGACTTTTTACAAAAGAACAAAAATGATTGGTGGTGGATAATGTCAATGATCACTTTTTATCGATTTTAAATTTCAAAAATAAAAATGAAAAATTATGACAATCTCAATAACAACTTTGGCTAAAATGTCTTTTTCTAACCCAATTGAAAGTACAGATAGTAAAGCGAAACAATGTTCATAGTTTTAAAAAAATTGTTGATACTTTAAAAAAATTGTATGCATTCCAAAATTTATAAAAACAGAAGACAAATTTGTATAAAAAAAAGTGGACGACCATATTTTTAAAGTGTCAATAAGAGAAAGAAACCAAAAAAAAGTGCATAAGCTGGAAATACAGCAAGGTCAAGGGGCTCCATGCCAAACAAAGAAAACAGCTGTCCGACGTGGCATTGCCTAAACATTTCCCGCGGACCGTTCGATGGCAGGCCAACCATGTAGTTTTATCTCTCCCTACGTAATTATCGCATCAGTCCACTCCTTCGAGACGACGCTACGATTCGTTCCCAGCCACACGCGTCACCATCGCCGGAGACTCAAACATGGCCGCCAGCTCAATCTGAGTGGCCGCCGCCCAAATGACCTCCATAAACGAGCTCGCCGCCAATTTCGCTACCTGCTTCCTCCTCGTCAAAGTACCAATCTTTTTCACCTCTTTTTTTCTCTTTTTGCCCTTTTCAATGTAATTATGATAATACATTCTGTTTAATTAATTAAATAATTATATGAAGGATGCAGCTGCCGGCGGAGCAAAATTGATTTGCTTTCCAGAAAGCTTTTCGTTTATTGGTGCCAACTGACAAAGATGGTGACAGTCTGAAAGTGGCAGAACCTCTGGAGGGTCCAAGGGCTTGTTCCTTCCTATGGTATCTTTCAGAATTGTGATCTGACCTTCCTTTAGAAGTAGGTCCTCGTCAAGGGTTTCGGTCTTCTTCTTCAACGTGTTAACCTCCGAGTTCAACAACATGTTCTTCTCGTTGTATTTCTTCACCTCCTCCCACATCATATTTCTCTCCTCTGAAGTTTTAGGCAGTATCGCCCGAGTAACCGTTAATTCTTTCGTCGATGCCTGGAGGTCACTTTGAAGCTGGTTTATGTTCTCATCCTTCTTAAGCATCTATTAGCAAGGAACACGTCATATAACATACAAACCACGATATTCAAACATATTAAGATCTCTACCGTTGAAATTTATACGTGATACTACGTACAGGTTACCTGCATTTCAAGGTCCTTCGACTTGTGGGTGAGACGGGAAAAGTTTTCCATTGCATTTTGCAGTTCACATCGGAGAATGTCATTTCCTCTTACAGCTGCTGCAACTTCAGCTTGCAACTGCTCAACTACCAGCTCTTTCGGATACAACTTTTCTCTCAGTAGACTTGTTAGTAAAGTTTCTGCTTTAAGCTCATCTCATATCGTCCTACGTAAGTAAGATTGACAGCATCAGTAACAGTTTGTGTAGAATACAAACAAAATAACTTATCGTTCCTTTAACTATGCAGAAGAACATACTCGGCAGCAACTAACCTCGGGCGTTTGATCATTTGGATATGCTGATCCATCAGCATTCGTGCACTTAGATGCTAAGTTTGAAGTGGACAGACTGGATTTTTCATGCTGCAAACCAGACATTGTCTGCAAACTTCTTGCGAAGCTTTCAGTTCCCCGTTTTATGCCCTGAACTTTAATTTCAGATTCAACAAAAAATTCCCCGTCGAACCGTTGCTTAGCGTCGGGAAGTTGGCCTGCTTTCCCTTCAACAAATTCGAGTAAATTTGAACATAACTGCGAGCTATCGTTAGAATCGATAGCCCTTGACTCTGCAAGCAGGAGACTCGTGTCCGCATCTCCTTATCTGCCTTGAAAGTTAACGCACCATTTTCTTTCCCACTTCCTCTCAACCGGTCTAACAAGTGTATATTCTCATGCCTAAGAGAATCAGCTTCAACCCAGAAACCCGAATGTTATGGCGAACGGATGTTTAAACGGGCGAGAGGGGTAGAGGAGGAGGTAGAGTATTACTGCTTAAACGGCGTTAGAGGCCGGCATTTCGACCGTTAAGCTCCAAACGGCGAGGTTTGGCTGCGCGGTTGCTCTTGTGATGATGACTGGTGATATATGGGAGGGTAAATTCCAACAGGTTAGTCTCTAGATTCTTTTGACGTGGATTCTAGAGATTCGTAAATTGTATTCGTTTATCATACATCATACGGTTAGTTTTTGTCAGGTACTGTTTATATTTAATTTTAAATAAAAATATTTAAAATAATCATTAATCGCACGATATATAATGAATGTATATGATTCATGAATCTTCAGGATCTTCACAAAGAAGATCCGGCGAGGATGAAAATTTTGAAAGTTTTGTCGTCTGCTGAAATTGGGGGAGTAGCGGGTGTCTGATAGAGCGGGAATCGGGTGGGAATAGGTACAAGGTTACTTGAACACACGTGGTCAAGAGGTTTGCTTAGCTAAAATTTCTTTTTCTTCTAAATTAAAAAAATTAGTAATGATAACGAGAGATATTACTATCGTAAGCTAGACTATAACGAGAGAAAGAGTTTGAATTAGATACGCAGCTGGTTAATAAAGAAGGTTTTATCTACTATGACAACCCACTACTTGCTGGGGTTTTGGCTGGTTGCAAAAAATTTCACGTAAATTAAGTGCTAAAATGTATTAGATTGTTTGACAACATACTATTATCAAATTTTATTTTGCAGTACATCGCATTGCCGGTACTGGAAAAGGATCTTGCGAGGATCCTTTTCTTGAAAATCCCGTGATCGTGATCATTCATCGTACATGTACGGTAAAAAATATTTCAAAATTTAAAATTTAAAATTAAATATAAATAATACTTAATGAAAACAAATCGCACGATGTATAATAAATGTTCATGATCATAAAATCTTTCAAAAAAAATGATCGGCGAGTTCCTTTTCCGTCGGGACTGACCCAAAATAATTAAAACTTTTTTTTTTTTTTTTTTTTCCTGGACTCTAGATTTGGGATTTTTGTTTGGACTGGTGGAGGTGTTCTCATGGGCCAGACCTCACTACATCTTTTTCTTTTTATTGGGCCTTACCCTAATGAAGCATTTTTATGACCCCACAAAATAAAAAAGAAGAAACAGTTAGAACCGTTGTAGAAAAACCACCAAAACAATACGCCGTCGTTTAAAGTCCTCTCCTCCTCCTCTTCCATCTGCCGTTGTCCCTACCCTTTCTGTCATTCCACGCTCGAATCTCCCCAATCATTCTCTCTATCCATCTCTTTCTCCATCTTCAATGGAAATCGATTCCCTCCCCAACGGTACCGCCGCGTCGCCGGGACCGACCCTAGGACCCGTCCCCACCGCCGCAACCCCTCCTCCTTCCTCGAAACTGAGCCACCTCGCCGACTCCCTGAAGCTGGAGCACCAGTTCCTCAGAGTCCCCTTCGAGCACTACAAGAAGACGATCCGCGCCAACCACCGCGTCGTGGAGAAGGAGATTTCCTCCGTTATTAACGGCGTATCCGAAGCCGCTGACCGGGACAACATGTCGTCGGACGACGCCGTGAATCATCTCAGCTCCCTCGTTTCCAGGCTGCAGGGGCTTAAACGAAAGGTACTGCTTTTGTAAACCTTAGCTTGGATTGTTTTATCCTGTTTGGATGACGGAGGAGTGAGAGGAAATAGAAAAGAACAGAGGTTAATCCGATGGATTCGAGGCAACCAGAGGTTAATTTGAGATTTATTAGCTCGGGCAGCTTTGATATGATTTACATTACTGTTAAACTGTTGAAAGTCATCGATCTAAATTGACATTGAACTAATCCGGATTGGATTTTTGTGGTTTAATAATTGTACCAGATTATTTTTGTTTATATTTGTGCTTTGAGTGATTGAATTTGGCTATTTGTGATTGGAATTTTCATGCTGATTGATGTGGGGTTTTTTGTGATTAAGTTGGAAGAGGGGAGTAAGACGGAGCACTTGCAGGCGCAGAGGTGCCGGGCTCGGCTTGATCATTTAGAATCGGCAGATGTGGAGAGTCTGTCTGAATGGAATGACACACGTGTGAACCGGATACTTGTGGATTACATGTTGCGGATGTCTTATTATGATACGGCAGTGAAGCTGGCAGAAAGCAGAAATATTCAGGTAGTTTTGGTTTACATTACATATTTGTGGTTCTTTATACCGAGTGCTCTGTCATCAGTTTTTTTCTTTCCAGTGTTCATAAATTCATGGAAGGTTTGAATATCATGAGTTATTGTAGTTTGAATGTATTAATTGGATTGAAGAACTTGGAAACGATGGCAATATTATTATATATCTGGCAATCAAACGGTTTTATTATTATAGTCATGCTCATTATCCAATTGCTTACTCTACTTTACAATTGGAAGAGGGATTCATCTTCACATTTGCTAACGATGGAAAGAAATTATATTTTTGACATTAATGAAGGAATTATGAACTAAATTTTAGCTCACAAAGTCTATATAATGAAAGAAAGCAGCTTATTGCTTTCATAATTGATAGGTTGGAACTTTTATGGTCTAGTATAGGAGTTAGGAAGTGAAGGTAAGTAGAATAAATAGGGGATACTAGCTTTTATTGCCGCAGGTTCATTGGCTTGTTAGAATCCCTTCTTTCTTATTGCTAGTGGTGCAGATTGAAGAATTTTTCCATATTTCTGTTTGTACGTGTTGGCAACTTGATTAGTTTCTTATGTGTCAGGATTTTGTTGATATTGATGTATTCCAAGAAGCAAAAAAGGTTATTGAAGCCCTTCAGAATAAGGAGGTAGGCCCTGCCCTAGCCTGGTGTGCCGAGAACAAGTCACGGTTAAAGAAATCCAAGGTATGCGCTCCCTTTCGTTTTGGGGGAGGTAGGGTTGAGAAGCATGCTATTTGGTGGATTGGAAGAGTTTGCTAATACTACTCTTCTGTCAGTAAAGTTATCTGTTCTGTTGCTTGTTTTTGAAAGAAATTAGCAAAAAAATACTCTGTACATAAGTTTAGGAGGATGGTGATTCTTTCAATGTGTCCTGCCGTTCTTTTATGTGAAATTTGATTTATTTGTTCGAGTTTGGCTTTCTACGGTATGCTTCTATCATACTTGGACTGCATACTAGGAGATGGAAGTAAAAAGAAAATGACATTTTTCTTTCATATATTCTAATTCATTTTGCTGCTATATTGTTGTGAAAGATTCCCTGTAGTTGAGCTGCAGTGCTTCCGTAAGTATGTTGGTTCTACTAAATTTCTAACAACTGCTTGTGAATTTCTGATAAAATGGTTCTTGAAATTCATTTGTTTGAGTTGGTACTGCAAACTGTTTCCTTCCTCAAATTAGATAACTAGACAAAGGTTCCTGTTGACAGTTATACCATTTGAATTGTAGTTCGATTGTTTTATATTATCTAATGCTGAATTCTTTATTGATGGCAGAGTAAATTCGAGTTTCAGCTGAGACTTCAAGAGTTTATAGAGTTGGTACGAGCTGAAAATAACTTGCGAGCGATCACATATGCTCAAAAGTACCTAGCACCATGGGGAACTACTCATATGAAAGAATTCCAGCGGGTCTTTGTAACAGTAGCTTATAAGAGTACTACAGAATGTGCTCCGTACAAGGTGATCTATTTTTCTCTAGATTGGGAAATTCTTTTACGGAGTACTTTGAATCTTTGGCAGCATTATAGGTTTTTACTTATCTGAAATTAACTGTGCCACAGTTTTTGTTGGAATAGACATACTGATATTTAAGGGACTAAAGTAAAAAAGTTAACGAATATGATTTTGAGACTATGGTCTCTGTTTTCCCCAAATCTTGTGGGAATGAGCTGAATAGGACAATGTGCTAAATGGTACCCATGTTTAATTGAACTTATTACTATGTAGGAAAGATGTTTTGTTGAACACAAACTAGTACATATTTGCCTGCACCATCTCTTTGTGGTGGTGGTTCCTCACAGATTAATTTTCGTCTCTGTTAGTCATGGAGCCTTCAATATTCCCGGTATGGAATCCTTTGATATACAGGACTAGGTTTTCAAGAATAGACTCATTTTCTGTGCCATCTCCTTGGGAAATAATATATTTTGAACTACACATTTTAGGGAGATGTATTGGTTTGGTGGTTATATTTATCTTTGGAGCTGCATGGTAAAGGTCAATCTCTGATTGTAATTTTTTTATTTTTTTGTTAATTATGTTTTCCAGGTTTTATTTGAGCCAAAGCAATGGGATTACCTGGTTGACCAATTCAAACAGGAATTCTGCAAGTTATATGGCATGACGCTTGAGCCTTTGCTGAATATTTATCTGCAAGCAGGCCTGTCTGCTCTTAAAACCCCGTATCCTATAACAGTTGTTTATCGATCTGTAGTTTACTGTTTTCCACTTATCTATTAATCAGGAGTGTTCTAGGCTTGGTACAATCGATTTCACTTTATATGGAGTTGACTCCCAAAGCTTCTTTGGCTTTGAGCTGCATCGTTGCCTATGTGACCTGCAGAACAAAACTCTAGAGCGGGAGGGTGAAACAGCCATAGCATATGTACATACTTATGTGATTGAAATAGTGAACCAAAATTTTTGTATATGGAATGAAGTTTTGACAATGCGTACTGTGTATTTCTTTCGTTGTGGAAATTTAGTATTTTCGTCCATTTCTTGCTAACTTTTAAGGGTTTTATGTCATAATATCCAGAGTCATTAGGTGGTCGTGGTTTAGCTCCCTGATTGGTGTTTTGACACTTCACATTCACCTTGAGCACATGACCGCTTGCATTGCAGCTGTTAATTGCATTTATAGATTTCGTTTTGCCTTGACCTGATTCAGATACTGTTATGATGATGATTGCACCAAGGAGGATCCGCTATCACAGGAGGGTTTCCGGAAACTAGCCCTGCCCTTACCTTATTCTAAGCAGCATCATTCGAAGCTTGTTTGCTACATAACTAAGGAACTAATGGACACAGAGAACCCACCGCAAGTCTTGCCCAACGGCTATGTCTACAGCACTAAGGTTCGATTGCATTTTATGTAGTAAAAAGTAAGAACAAGATCTTTGTTAATTCAGTCTTGAAATATTCTTCTTGATTTATGTTTTGGAGGCAGGCTCTTGAAGAAATGGCGAGGAAGAATGATGGTAAGATTACTTGTCCAAGGACAGGATTGGTATGCAATTTCACAGATCTGGTGAAGGCATATATATCATGAATATAAATATTATTGCCCTTTTAAATTATTCAAGTTCGTTATTAATCTGTAATTCTGGGATTTCTAACTGTCAAAACATCCTCCTCTCTGTCTATGTACATAAACAGGAATGCTCTCCTAAGGTCCTCATTTTGAGGACCCGTGAGGTCCTATTTCATTTCAACCCTTAAAATTAATTTGACTGTGAAATAATCCAAAATATGATATTATCCCTGTTACAACATAACAAAATAATAATTTTGATATAAAAAAAAAAACAAGAAGAGTTTCAGGCGTGAATGTCATATATCCGGTATGTTGTAAAAGGGATAATATCATATCTTGTTATTATCCCTGTTACAACATTTTTATTTTGTTATGGTGTAACATGGATAATATCATATTTTGGATTATTTCAGTCAGATTAATCTTATGGGTTGAAATGAAATAGGACCTCACAGGTCCTCAAAATGAGGACCTTAGGAGAGAATTTCTGCCTACATAAAATGCTTTCCTGCCGGACGTCCGGCTCATTCCTCAACTTGGAAGTTGGTATTACTGGTGGGGGATTGAAGCATGCACATATATGCAGAATTTATTTTCAAGTTGCTGAACGGAAGACATTCCACACTTGTTAATATTTCAATTAATTTACTCTACTGCTTTGAGCTGTAAAAACCAAGTCATGGGAATCCAAGTTGACGGGCTCTAAACCCAACTTGCTGGGTGAAGTAGCTACAGTTTTTAATACAAGCGATATTTAAACTCGGACATCCTATGAAATTAGTGTGAAAATAATTTCTCCTGTTTAAACAGAAAGTTTTATAAACTAAGTATTACTAAAATAGATTTTCGTTTTTTCTTGAATCACACAAGGTAGGGCAAACAAAAACGTGGATGAATGATAGCATGTTGGTTATGATGATGAGCAGGTGGCTTGTAGATCACATGTCAATGTTGCTATGCCAAGTACAAATGGTGTTGTCCACCTGAGTAACTTAGTTATCTTTTCGCCAAAGTTTACCACTATTCTAAAAATCCCTGCCTAACAAGTACAAATCATGTTGTCCACCAGAGTAACCTAGTTATCTTTTCGCCAAAGCTTACCACTGTTCTAAACAGCGCTAGGCAGCTAGCCACTACTCTGATTAATGCCTAGGCGTTTGATAATTAAGAAAGGGCGCCTAGACCTGCTGAGGTGCCCGTCCAGGCCCGCATAGACACTTGTTTAAGTTGCAACTCACTCAGATAGAAAATAGATAACTTTCATTTTGCATTTTATTGTTTTCAATAAATTGTAAAAGATTTATTGAACACTTAAATAAGCACACATTATATGTTTGTTTACTATGTTTTCATTATTTTCTAATACTTTATAATATATATGTCATTCTATTTTCTAGCTTATGATGAAATTATATATATTTTAAGTATAAACAGATATTTATTTACATAAAATACAATAAATTTACTTAAATCCATTTAGACGTTAAGCCTCAACCCGTTGTCCATTTAACGTTTAACGTTTATTAGAACCTTGAAACTCACAAGAAAAAACACTAAAAAAAAAAGGCCCATTAAATATGGAGTGTCGGAGGAGGAAAGGATTGTGGCAGACATGGGGAAGGACAGTATATGAATGATAAAGTACAACTACAATTTAATTGAGAACAATTTTTTGTTTTTTGAACCAAAAATAAGCATAACCTTTCTCCTTCATTTCCTCTATCATTTTAATCCCTTTTTCTTCTTATATATACCTAAAGGGGCGGATCTGTAAAAGCCCCATTAAATATGGAGTGTCGGAGGAGGAAAGGATAGTGGGAGACATGCGGAAGGAATGTATATGAATGATAAAGTACAACTACAAGTTAGTTGAGAACAATTTTCTGTATTTTGAGCCAAAAATAAGCATAATTTTTCTCCTTCATTTCCTCTATCATTTTAATCCCTTTTTCTTCTCATACACACTTAAAGGGGCAGATTTGTGATACCATTTTTTTTACACAACTTTTTATGAGATTCACTCTGTAATGTATTTTAACGTTCTAAACCGTCAATCTCTTCGAATTATACTAACAAAATAGCACCATTACAAATCAACTCAAACGAAAAAAATTGACTCCATTCAATTATATGTCATTGTAACCAATTTTCTATCTCTTTGGGCATCATTGTCAGAAAGTTTTCAGCTCGACAATCACACCGTTACATGGTGTTATTAATTTAGATGTTACAACTTATAATACCAGTGAATAACACAATTTTTTTCTGCAAAATCAATCAACAATAGTTAAGTTGTCACCGATATATCATATTGATAATAATGAAACTCATATGATATAACGTGAAGAATTGATAATATTACATCATAGTTACAATGAAAAACGTTAAATTAGTAAGATGAGATTCACTTCTATAAGTGACATTGACACTACTATCTGAAAGATGATGCTAGAGAGGCCATCTTTTTAAATCATATTTGAAGATGACAAAATAATGTGGTGGTTGATGGTTAAATTATTTCTTATTTTGAACAAACGGTATTATCTCCGCTAAGGGGGAGGGGGTGAGTTTAACTTTATAATGGACTAGCAATAATGTGATTCAAATTTGCATTTAACGAGAAGCAAACTTATGACCTTTCATTTATAAGTGAAGAGGAATACCACTAGAATTCTTTCTTTAAATCATTTAAAATAAAATTCAATCACCACATCATTTAGTTTAAAAAAATATGGTCCAAAAAGATGAAGCATTTCCTTATATAAATTGATTATGGTAAAAAATCAAACCATTAAAAACAATAATGTTTTTGTTCTAATATTCTTGGCGTGCTTGGATCATATTACTCGGATAATATAACAATATTCCAAACCAAAGTCACAATTCAGAATACCTTTTTATTGTTCCATCGATCGTCATAGTGCACTAGAAGCAACACCAAAAGAATCCCAGGACAAAAAGTTGGAACAAAACTATAATTTTGCTATGCCAGGGATAAATGGTGTTGTCTGCCTGAGTTGCCAAGTTGTCATTTCACCGAAGTTTTCAAGAAAAAGAACAAAAGAAATGCACATTTGCTGTTTTTAGTTTGAAAAATGTTAGGTAGACCAAATTTGTAAAGCATGTGATGTATCATTAATAAAAAATAATTACGTTAATCAATACTTAAGTAATAATTTAATCATCAACAATTACGTCATATTTCTTACAAAAGTTAATTTAGTTAAATAGTTTCCCTAGGATTACACTTCTTAGTTTTTAACTTAGTATTTTAAATATAGAGAATATTGAATTTGTGACTCATTTTGTGTGGAGATTTATAGTGTCAAAGCCACTCAACCTTGTAAAAGTCTTGATGACTTGTTTCAAACAAAATTGAAAGTAGCAATCTAGCAGGGACTATGATTTTTTTTTCTCATTTTTTTATCTCCTTTCATCTCCTCCTTTTACATCTATAAAAAATTAATATAAGATATTGACGTGACTTTACATGACCGTTCAAATAGGATGAGAAGGAAGAAGAGAAAAAAAGAAAAGAAAATCCTACTTCATCTAGCTGACACTCTCATTTGGAAAAGAATAAAAAGTTGTCGGCAATTATTCCACTTTATAAAGTAGTTGTCTTGTAGAAAAAGAGAGTGAGAGAGAGAGAGAAATAGGGAGCAAAACGACTCAATTTTGATGCAACAATATGACAATCACGACCGTTGGATTCTAAAACATTGCCAAACTCAACAGAATTTATTTGAAGTCACTTCTATAAAACGTGGACTGTTGCATCCATATACCGACCCTGCTTAAACTTGAACATTTCAGTTATAGAAATTTGAAATCTCAAATTTGGTTTCGAAGTGTATTTGCTACTTTATCTGCAAAATTTCAGAGTTCTAGCTCCAAGATTCAGTTCTATTTTCTCCGGAAAAAGAAAAAGAAAAGTAAGTTTGAGTAGTTTCTTGTTTTTTCTTTTTTTCATCAAAATGTTGTGTCAACTATTTTATGATTTTTTTTTTGGTGCAACCGGAGTGACAGAGCACTTATGATCATCAGATTTGATGAATGTTCAACAAATTTCAATTACTAGATCAAATCCGACGGTTATAAGCGCTTCAACACTATGTCTTGAGAAATTTTGATTTTTTTAGGACAACTACTAATTATATTAGTTGTGTGTGTTTGTCCAGTAATTCTGAAATTCAAATCCAAAGGCCGGAATGGAAAACTCGCATATGGAAGTAAGTTGCATATGGGCAGCGAAAACTCAAAAACCTACTGAGTCTCTAGATCAGAAATATTGGAAGAAAATATTTATATCATCGTGTTTGTGTGCTGTCCTATTAGATCCATTGTTCCTCTACGTTCCTATTCTGAAGGATGATATCAAGTGCCTTATGTTAGATCCAAAGTTGAAGATAGTCACTCTTCTTTTAAGATCACTCACAGATTTTTTTTATTTAATGGACATCATTATTCGAATGTATAGATCTGAGAACTATTCGAGTTTAATCGATGAACTTAACCACAGACAACACCAGCTGAATTTTAATTTTGTGCTGAACACTTGTGTGCCAAGAATAGCCAAGACAATATGGGCGTCATATGATATCTTAATTGACATTGTAGCTCTTCTTCCCCTTTCACAGGTAAGAACTTAAATCCCTTTCTTGGAGTAATTGTTTTCCCTATTTGCTTTGCCTGTGGCCAAAACGGATTTTTTCGTGTTAAATGCACAAAACTGACAAACAATATAATATATGTTTGGGTCTCACATACACTTTGTTAGAGAGTATTAATTTTGTGTTCTAGACAACATTGTTATTCATCCATCAATTTTTACTGTTGGCACTACTAATGAATGGCATCCAGGTGGCAATCCTCGTTTTCTTCTCAAAAATGAGTGACTTGAGATATTTGACTACAACAAGGATGGTTCTTATGAACGTTTTCACTATGTTGCAATATGTGTCACGAGTTCTTCGCATCTACCTCTTACTTAAAGAAATCCAAAAAATGCCTTTAAAAGAGGAGATTAGAGCGACTTCAACATGGGTTAAAGGTGTTCTCAATTTCTCTATGTACATCATTGCTAGTCATGTAAGTTTCAATATATATCTCTTTTTTGTCGAATCAATTCTTATTATCCTGATCTCACTTTTGTTTATTAAAAAAAGAGTGAAATGACTATTTTGAAGTAACCATAACATCTAAAATATTAATAATTTCCTAAGGCTTTTTTTTTTTTGTATGTTTAATTTTCAGGTAGCTGGAGCCCTGTGGTATTTTTTTGCTATTCAACGAATGATGATTTGCTGGCATTCTGCATGTCAAAAAAATGATGGATGTGATAACAGAATGTTTGGTTGTCACGATCACCACTTCTTTAGAAATACCACAATTCTAAATGATTTATGCCCTGTCAGTGTTGGTGACAATTCATCAGGCACGATGTTCTTTGATTTTGGTATATTTGCCACTGTGCTTAAATATGATGTTGTAGGATCAACCAGTTATTTCAAAAAGTTATTGAACTGTTTCTGGTGGGGTTTGCGAAATTTAAGGTTTGTACATTTTTGTCTTTCTTTATTGAAAAATTTAAACTTTTTAAGGTCCTTGAATTTGTTCATAATTTATATGAATTCTTTATGTTGAGGATCTAAATTACATCGAGAACCTAAAGTATTGCTTCAACGAAATAGAGTTGAGTAGAAGGACTCGTAGAGATTAAAAATCAAGTTGAGAGACAAAAATGTTATCTTGGATAAATTTTAGGAAGAAGGGACCATAGAACCAAATAAACCCTTGGAATAATGGTTGTAAATTGTAAGTTTATAACTTGAAATTTGATATCTTATATAATGATCCATTAATTTCATTTTTGCAGTTCCTTTGGTTCAAATCTAGAGCCAAGTGCTGATGGATGGGAGAATCTCTATACGGTTTTTATTTCTATAAGTGGCTTGCTTCTGTTTTTATATCTCATCGGAAATTTGCAGGTTTGCTTAAAAAACTTTTCGTATGTCTATCATTAAGTGCTATTAATCACTCCAACTACGTAAACTTGATATGTGAAGATTTTGATATCCATCAAATTCACTCTAATCTAATATATGTTAAGTATTCTTAAACTACATATATGTTAAGTATGATTTTTTTTTTTCACTAAATCTAAATGTCATGTACAAGAAATTTTTACTTGTAACAGGAACACTTACCACATAATGTATTATTCTACGTGTTATCATATAAGTAGATGACATAGATGATATTCTCGGTTTTAGGATATATTTATAAAAACCAAATCTGTGTGTAATTAGAATGAGATAGTAACACCATGTGATCGCGTTCTAGTTTTAACTCTCATTACGTATGTTAGATTTTCATTGTGGTCCTCTGGTTAGGTGCATATTATTATGAATTTCATTGTATAGCTACAATAAGATACCTACATACGTTCATGATATTGTATTCCATCAAAAGATTAGAACCAAAAGTAGATTAGGGTGGGTTGGTTGAGTTGGACTTTAAATCGTTGGCCATTCCAATAGGCTCGGGTTGGAAATTTTCAAACCCATTGCCACCTAAGAAAATAAACAAACCAACCCACCCAAATTATTCTTAGGTTGGCTAGGTTGGGCGTGTTTCACGGGTTGAGGTTAATTAGTTTCTATCTTGTTCATCTGAATTTGGTGTTGTAAATGACAAGCATATCACCAATCACGTCGCAATTGTTTGGCCATTAAAATTCAATCCCATAAGTCCCTCTCCTTGTAACAGTTTATATTTGTTGTAATTGTAATTTATTGTCATTATTTGCTAGTCTTATTTGGCTTTAAAACTCCATATTGGTGTCACTTAGTACTACGATTTAGTGATATTTCACTTCATTTGTAAATGAGAGGTCTTAGTTCGATTCTACCACATTCTTGTTAACCCATGTTATATATAATATCGTTAAAAAAAAAACCGTCAACACTGGTAATTTGTTTATAGAAAAAGCTGTTGTAAATGCAAATCAATCAAGCCAATTTTCTATTCACCATTCTTCTTCTAATAGACGTCTCTAATTCTCCCTACCGTAATTTTCTCCTAAGGCATGTATTATCATTCGGATGGGTCGGGTTCAATCGGATTAATAGTATTTCAACCTAACTCAACCCGCTATAGAATAGATGGTCGATTTTTTACCCAAAAATAACTTTTTAACGTTTAGAACCCAACATATATCAGTTGGGTTGGTCAGGTTGGTCGGTAGGCCACTAACAAGGCCACTAACATGCCCACCCCTACTAGGTATTAATGTAGTAGTATTTCATTTTTTTCATTTTTTTGGGTTGAAATAGTAGTTAAATGTAGAAAAAAAGATTAAACTGAAAATCCAATATACTGATGACATTCAACTTCAAAGAAAAATAGTTGTTATCCAATATGACAATCTAATTCTTATCAATCTCTTACTTGGTGAATAGATGTCTATGCAATTTGAAACTACAATAAGAGAGGATCAGAAACGCAGGATGATAATCAAACAGAAACAAAAGATGCTGCTAATCGAACAAAAGATGGAAAAAAAAGGTCGAGATATAGAATTATGGTTATTTAAAAGAGGAATTCCCACCGGGTTGAATAAGGGTATGAAGTTGCGGATGATGGAAAAAGTACAAGAAGCACTTAAAGGTGATATGGATATTAGTTTGGATGATATTCTCCCTCTTCTTTCCTTTTATGATCAAAGCCGTATAGAAGATTATATGCCTTTGACAAGGTTGAAACAAGTAAGTTCCTTATATCTAAATTTACCCTTTAATTAATTACTCACTTTGATAATCACATAAAACGAGTATAGTATCTATTTATCTTTTGGATAAGACTTATTTGTCGAAATCCCCCCTAAACTTATATCCTACTACCAATTTACCCTTTAAAATTAAATTTTAACCAATTACTCCCCTAGACTTTTATTTATGGCCAAATTCCCATCTTCTATTAAATATGACACATTTCAACCATGATTCCGTTAGTTTGGAGGGCAAAATCGTCATATAGAAGTAAATATGTTTTGCCCTTTTTGAATTAGCATCTGGGACATGCGACATGCCATTGGAGAAGGTGGGTTTGCAGGGAGAGCGGAAGGGGGATCACGAATTGAATTGGGAATCTGGAACCTGCCATTGGAGGTTGTGGGTTATTGCGGGGTGGTATTGGGAATGAATTTGAGGGAAGCGGTAGGCGGATGAATTTGATATGAGATTAGGGGTGGCTGGTGGTTTAAGATTTGGGGTGGATGAGAAGGGTCACAATTGGGTAGAAGAGGGGAAGTGAGAGATGTGGTTTTTTATTTTCATCTTTAAATCCTACTTTTATTGTGAATCTGTTGACCTTAAAAATTATAAAGCCTACGAGGCGCGCAAACCTGGTAACTAATAAGTTAACCACAGAATCATGGACAAAACGTGAGAAATTTAAACGGCAAAAGGAAATTTTGCAATAAATAAAGTTTAGGGAGGTAATTGATTGAAAATAAAGTTGATGGGTAAATTGGCACTAGGTTACAAGTTTAGGTGGGGTTTCAACAGACGCCTGTCCTGTCCATTTTCAAGTCTCCATTCACACAACCGAACACCCTGGTTCTGTATACCAATCATCCTCCTTCAACCTTTCTCTGCCCACAGTCCGCTCCAGAACTGCAAAAACATTACAGATTCTTTCACAAAAGCTATTACCCATTTAATTGAAACCATACGATTTATTTTTATAAAAAAGAGGGGCTCTTCTTTGATGTTCTTCTTCCCCCACTGATTGTTACCACTATGGAGATCCATATTAATTTGTGGCACAAAAAGTGGCTTCAAGATCACCAGGTTGAGATCAAATGATAAGACCCACTCTCTGGATTGATGACGACGGGTTGCAATCATCGCCGTCGTCCATAACGGAGGACGACGATCACAGCGGGTGGCAGAAAAGAGGGATTGGGGTCATCGGAGAAGAGAGCGAATTCAGTGTTCGATCAGAGTTTGGTTGTGTGTTTGGAGACTTGAAAATGAACAGTTGTCTTTATTGTATTGGACTATTAGGAGGTCGGTAAATTTTGAGTACTGAACAGGCAGTACCAAGTATTATCTTCATCATTTTATTAAGAATTTAATTAACTGTTGATGATTGTATCTTTATCCTTTTAATGAAAATTTCTTCCTATGGGTTTTCTTGCTTTCTCTCTGATAGTTTAACAACATGAATTTCAGGTGCCAATGCTTCGAGGGATAGATGAACATGTGTTGAAAACAATCTGGCAGAAATTCGAGCCTGTGAGGTATACTGGGAGTGAGAACAGCTTTATTATTCAAAAGGATGAACCACTTGACAAGATGGTCTACATTGTGGACGGAATTGTATCCATTGAAGAGAGATCTTCTGATGATTCGAGACGAGGTGCAGGAGAATTATGTGGAGAAGAACTTCTACGTTGGCCATTCTCCTCTTTCTTCCATCTTAGAAATCCGTTGGCAACTGAATCTGTCATGGCAACTGGTGTTGTTGAAGCCCTTGCTCTCAAAGCATCGGACTTGCGAAGTGTAAGCTCTTAATCAAATGCACATTTCCCTTATTAAAATTGAGCATTGATAAGAAAATTAAGTGGCATAAAAGAGTGATCCAAAAATTACCGTATTTGAAATATCAGACAAGACTTTCATGCTTTCAACGCAACCCTTCACATGCGGGGCAACTTAAGCCTAATGTGTGGATTATGCAAGACATATTGAGTGATGCATTAGTTTCATCTAATACCATATTAAAATTGAGCCTCCATCTTAGTTAAAATCATTGGGAATAGGAGGAAGAGGGTCCAAAATTATTTTAAATTATTAGGCAAAATTTGATTTCCTCTGACAACGTCAATAAGTCTATAAGCTATAAGAAATCTAATTACCTCAATTTGATTGTAATTTGGCTAGATTTTCTTTTACTTGAACTAACGAACTCTAACCACCTTTTTCTTGCTGTGGATTAATAGATATACCACCAACCATACATTTTAGAAAAAGAGGAGCGTAGACACAGAAGGATGATGAAAGAGGAGTTTAAGCTAAATATATATGGATTGATACAAGACAATGATATTTTTAAAAGGTTGAATGAGGATGTAAAGTCGCAGATCATGGAAAGCGTAGAACTAAAAATTCATCAAGATGGTCTTTATTGGGATTTGCTCAATTGGGATCAACTCGTTTCTTATCTTCCCAAGGATTTTCAAGATCAGATCGAAAGGTACTTGCCAGTGACGAAGTTGGCGAAGGTAAAGTTTCTTCAAATCCATGAATCCATATCTTTAATTTTGAACATAGAATTTGAGGCATTTATTTATTTATAACTCTCATCCCAATATCCCATTCATGCGCATGTGATATTATAGCTCCCAGGCATTTAAATACAGCATAACTAACGTATACTATACCAACCCCAACCTAGGGCCTAGGCTACATAACAATCTAGCCCTTGCCCATGATAAGGTGGAGCGTAAGTACATGAGACAGAAAAAAAACAAACAAAAGAAAAAATAAGCTGCCAAATAGAAGAATTTGCCGGCCAATAAAGACCATTCACTTGGAACTTTCTAAGCCTTATCCTTTCACACCAATAAATTTTAAAAGGAAAACCATCCACTTCGATACTTTTTTATATTACTTGAGGCATGTGAACATTTGTAGTTATAATCATCCAAATAACCCAAAAATGGCAATTAACTAAAACCAGGGAAAAAGTTTAAAAATATGCTATAAAAAAGTGAGTGGTAGAAATAGGGAAAGTGTGATACTAATTGGATAGAAAAAGAAAAAAGAAGTCATGCTTATGGCATTAGTCAGGTTTTTTATTGTCACGATTCATTTAAGAAAAATACTAAGGAGACCATTAAAAAAACAATCATCAACCGTTGTATTAGTTACGTTTTTTACTCTCCCTCTTCATCCTTCGGATGTTCAAAGGTGCAAAAAAAAAGAGCCTTTTGCCAAGTTGAAGCAAGTAATTACTCACCTTGATGATCATATAATATGAGGATTGCATCTCTTTATCTTTTTAATAAGAATTTAATTAATTCTTCCTATGGCTTTTCTTGCTTTCTCTCTGATTTTAACAATATGAATTCCAGGTGCCAATGCTTCAAGGGATAGATGAAGATGTGTTGAAAATAATCTGTCAGAAACTCAATCTTGTGAGGTATATTGAGAACAGCTTTATTATTCAAAAGGGTGAACAACTGGACAAGATGGTCTACATTGTGGACGGATTTGTATCCATTGAAGAGAGATCTTCTGATGATTCGAGACGAGGTGCAGGAGAATTATGTGGAGAAGAACTTCTACGTTGGCCATTCTACTTTTCCTTTCCTCTCAAAAAACCGTTGGCAACTGAATCTGTCAAGGCAATTGGTTTTGTTGAAGCCCTTGCTCTCAACGCATCGGACTTGCAAAGTGTAAGCTCTTAATCAAATGCACATTTCCCTTATTTACAACTAAGCATCAATAGGAAAATTAATTGGGATAAAAGAGAGATCCAAGAATTACCTATATTTAAAATATTAGACAAGACTTTTATGCTTTCAACACAACCCTTCACATGCGGGGCCATTTAAGCCTAATGTGTGTAGTAAACAACACATATTGAGTAATCCAAAATTATTTAAATTATTACGCAAAATTTTATCTCCCTGATATGAAGTTCATATAGTTTGACAAATTCAATAAGCCTTTAAGAAACTCTAACAACCTCAATTTGATTGTAATTTGGCTACATATTCTTTTTAGTTGAACTAACGAACTCTAACAACCTTTTTGTTGTTGTGGATTAATAGATATACATGCAATCAGACATTTTAGAAAAAGAGAAGCCTAGACACAGAAGATTGCTGAAAGAGGAGATTGATCGAAATATAGATGGATTGATACGTAGAAATGGGATTCCTGAAAGATTGAATCGAGATGTAAAGTCGCGGATCATGAAAAATGTAGAAGAAATTTTTCAACAAGATGATCTTTATTGGGATTTGCTCGATTGGGATCATCTCGTTCATCGTCTTATCAGGGATTTACGAGATGAGATCAAAAGTTACATGCCAGTGACTAAGTTGAAGCAGGTAAAGTTTCTTCAAATCCATGAATCCATGACTTTAATTTTGAACATAGAATTTAAGGCATTTATTCATTTGTAGCTCTCATCCCAACATCCCATGCATGCGCATGTGATATTATAGCTCCCAGGCATTTAAATACAGCATAACTAACGTATACTATACCAACCCCAACCTAGGACCTAGGCTAGATAACAATCTAGCCCTTGCCCATGATAAGGTGGAGCGTAAGTACATGAGACAGAAAAAAAACAAACAAAAGAAAAAAATAAGCTGTCAAATAGAAGAATTTGCCGGCCGATGAAGACCATCCACTTGGAAATATCTAACCCCTATCCTTTCACATCAATAAATTTTATAAGGAAAACCATCCACTTGGATACTTTTTTATATTACTTGAAGCATGTGAACATTTGTAGTTATAATCATCCAAATAACCCAAAAATGGAAATTAACTAAAACCAGGAAAAAAAAATATGCTATAAAAAAGTGGGTGGTACAAACAGGAAAAACGTGATACTAAGGGTTGCAATAATGTCACTGATAGCAAAAAAAGAAAAGAAAAGAAAAAGAGTAATTAGTTACGTTTTTATTGTCACAATTCATTTAAGAAAAGTACTATGTGATGATGATAAAAAAAAAAAAAAACAATCATTAACTGCCATATTTTGTTGTTTACAAAATATAATTTAAATAGATCTAAAGCCACAATGCATCATTGCAACGGAGCAACAATCACACCTTTCACATTTACATGGCCACCTTTTCTTGTAGTGAGCAAACACAAGAACGGTCCGAAGGCTGCAGATTTTAATAAAAACGTTGGAGATTAATGATGGATGAAAAGTTTTTAAAATTCATGAGTTAGTTATAACTATATATTTATGTATTAGATTTTTTATTCTGTCATTTAATTTATTTAAATGTTATGAAATGTAGATTTCAGCATTCCGATACATAGACGAATCAGTGTTGAAAGAAATTTGCAACCACTTTCGGCCCAAGAAGTATAATCGTACTGACAATATTATTGAAAAGGGTGACCCAATTCAAATGTTGTTGATTGTGGAAGGAAGAATAGGCCAAGAAGGTTGGGTAAAAGACGCAGGAGAAATCTATGGAGAAGAACTTCTGGCTTGGCCATTCTCAACCTCTTTTCCTGATAAAGTACCTGTCGCAACTAAGTCTCCTTTTGTAATTACGGATGTTGTTGAAGCCCTTGTTCTGACGCACAGCGACATGAAGAGTGTAGCCACTGAATTCCGGAAGCATTTCATAAAAAATTACAGCAAATTCGTATCAAGATTGGGATTCAACTTTTTTACCTCAAACTTTTTTACCCATTATTCTGAAGGGGCCATTAAGGTGGCCACAAGGAACTACACTTGTTTGAACAATCCAAATGAAGAAGGCTTTGGAATAGTTTACCACACAGAATTAGATGGAAGTGCTGTCGCCATAAAAACGTGCAACAGTGCTGCTGGTGACCCGTTCATCCAGAGTCAACGTCTTGTTCATGAGGCATTTGTTCTTTTACATATCAGTCAGGAAAATGTGGAGAGGCTGTTAGGTTATTGTTTAGAGACAAGATGGCCTGTAATGGTTTACGACAGCACCGATGCTTTGACTCTTGTTGAGCACTTTCACAAAAACAAATCGAAACTCTCGTTGGAATCACGAACGAAGATAGCAGCGGAAACTGCAAGAGCTCTAGCACATGTGCACTCCAGGTCAGTCATACACCGAGATTTGAAGACAACGAATATATTAATAGATCGTACAACTCACACTGTAAAAGTTACCGGTTTTGGAGCTTCACGATTGCTTGATGAAGATGAAGGTGAAATGGAAGATGAAGTATCAACTTTGCCTGGGACATCCAGACACTTGGACCCTGAGTATCTTAAATCACGCGACGTCTATAGCTTTGGAGTAGTCCTAGTGGAGCTACTAACGCGTCAAGAGGCAATTTCTTCTGACGGGTTTGAGACATCCCTAGCAAACGACTTTCTTTGTTCAGTGCAAGAAGATCGCTTGGGCCAAATTCTCGATGGTGAAATAAACACAGACAAGTTTAGTTTTGAGATGGCCAAAAAAGTGAGTGTGCTTGCCGTGACATGTTTGAGGTCAAGTGGGGAGGAAAGGCCGTCAATGGAAAAAGTAGCTGAGGAGCTTGAGGGACTAGTGCAAACTATTAGAAACAGGGTAGAGCATTCTACGGTGGACGATAATGTATCTTCGGCCTCTAGAACTTCCGAGTGAAGTATTGATGTGAACCCCGTGCAGCTGGTTTCAGTTTAAGTGTGTGCTTGTGAAATAATTAGGTATCAAATGTTGTAACTTTTATATTTTTGCCCATTTCATTTATTTTTGCACTTCTCTTGGTTCAAACCTCTAGAATTATCCATTGCCCCCACTGAAATCCATACCGTCTTAAAAGAGATGGCCAAAATTCAGAACTAGAGAACCATAAATAGAGTCCAGTAGAAAATGTATTTGCACGTTGTTGTAGGATTGAAAATGAATAAAATATTATGTTGCTTTTTTCTTTGGGAGTTTTAACGAAAAGCTTGCAGTACTGTTCGCTTTAACGAAAAACCATATTTTTACACTAAAAAATCAAACCTGATACTATTCACTTTACCCTTTATTTTGTCCTTATCGTTAAAACTCAAAGTTTTCAAGTCATTTTTATTAATTTTCCTTTTTTCTTTTCGTAAGCAATGTTTGAATCCATAATGCCAAAGAAAGCTGATGGCCCTAGGTTTGTTTCTTTTTTTTTTTATTTTTTTTTTACAAATTTACAGTGTCAAACAACAAACTGGTAGCTGGAAAAGGTGAAAATCACCAAGAAAACTGACACTTGGTTCAAAAATATTAGAGGAAGTACAGGCCATTGTGTGTGACATGCAAAAGTGCTACTAATTCAAATTTCCAACATGCTCAGCAAATCTCTAACTTTTCAAAAGTAATTAAATTGAAATTAATAGATTTTTCTTCTGCACACTGATTATTGAAGATTCGCTACGAAGAATGAATCCGTAACTTACAGAGGTTTCAAAATGGACTACACCATCCATTAATCTAAACAGAACCGTCTCAGCAAAGCAAACAATTTAATCTCGTTCCTCCAGAAATGGCATGTTTTATTACTTCACAGGGCTAATTTCTTCCCAAATATTCAAGGCAAGTGGTTTTAACATTAAAATACCACAACATGATTAACACATTAAACAAACAGTTTTATTAATATAGCTTATTTTCTGGCACAGAATTAACCTTTTCAATGTATCAAAGCAAGTGGTAATTATTAAAATGAATATGTTAACAAACTCTTATAAGCATAATCCAATAACCTAAATATAGTGTTTTAATCGATATCAACAATAAAAAACAATGCAATTGTAAGCATAAATTTAGGTGATTCAATGGTTAAAAACCATGTAAACCTCCTAGACATGAAAACATATGAAAATTAAGGACTGACTTGAGCTCGGAGTTCACATAAAACTTTTAAGAGTAGCAAATGCTCTGTCGGATAGGGTTCCTTGTAATGAGATATATCCTCTGCACAAACAGCACAATGGCAAAAATGGTAGTCTATTTAAAAAATGAAAACAGATTAAAACCTTTCAGTTTCATTTAGAGAATTGTATATTATCACTACTATGCATTCAGTTTCATTTCAAGCTACTATCTAATAAAACCTTTCAGTCAAGGTTTCTGTAAATTAATTTCAATTTGAATAACAAAACTATTTTTAGTAAATTTCTTTACATCTTATTACAAATTATTACATCTGCTCGGATTTTAATACACTGAAGATAAAGTTAAAGTCCTTACATCACAATCTGAATTGAGATCTAGCTCATTGAATCACAATTGAATACTGGAGGTGAAGCCCTACAACGCTTAGGGCTTCGGCTGTCATGAGGACTCCTTGATCTTCTCTCCAAACTCCTTTCTCTCCTTACAGGTGATCGGGAACGACTGCACATTAGAAAAAAATAATCGAGTTTCAGCAAAATACCCAGACAAATGATATGCATACATAGAAATTCGACCTGAAGAACAAAGTACCGGCTGTCGACTTTCTGACGCTCTCCCCCCCTCCTTTTTCCGGCCTTGGGATCGGCAGCGTAAGATGAACTTACACAGGCAGATTTATAAAAAATGTGGACTATATTATAGAAATTTACTACTATAACCTCATTCACTTGAGAAAGCATTCACACAGAAATCCAAATTCACCCAGCAAAAATGTGTCTTCTATTTTTAGCGTAAGAGCCAGTTTGGTGGGTTTTCCTTCATGTTAGCCTGATATTGTGGGCTCCTAGTTTCCCAGAATCCCGGTTTCTCATGTACAGTTTCATATAAATCCATAACTTGTACCTGTGTCTGATTGCATAAATAATCTCCGATGATATTACCTCTCTCGAGTCTTTGGTGGTATTGCAAAACCAATATCATCATCTATGGCAGTCTGTTGTAGTCAAAGTGTCGCAGTAGTTTCTTAGCCACGCAGAAGCAGTTTTGAGGATATGAAGTTCACCATTGAGGAGATCCTGAGCCATTTGCCTCCGGATAGAAAGTCTTTCGCATGTAACTGGAGAACTTACAGGTCCCAAAGACTATGCACACACTCAAGAAGCACTAAGGGAGTTACTACATTTGTAGTCAGATACAACATTATGCAAACTATAGAAATGATTATATTAAAATTCCACTCTCTTCATATGTTTAGTACGGCTTCCCAAACGCCTAAGAATTCTCCAGTTATAAAATTCCTCAACTTCATCAATATCTCAACCAAAATGAGTATGTTACTGCAACACGTCACTGATTCAATGTTCGTATGCTTAAGAATTCCTTCATTCAAAAGAACCGTAATTGGTGTATGCTCTCGTGAATTAATGCATTATCATAGAAAATAATGAACTCTTGTTTAACTTAGCATAGACAAGTTCTGTAAACGAAGGGAGTAAAAAGTTAGCATCTTTACCTTGATAGATGCATCATAATCCTCAGCTAATTGGGTTAATTTTGATAACATCTGATGTGCTTCAATCTCTCTGATGCTGTTTGTTAAAGGACGTCGAGCCAATCGACCATCATGTTCTGCAGCTTCTTTGGCCAGGTCACTAAGTTCTGAATATTAAGAAACAATCAATAAACTATTTCCAGATGAGTCATAAGGTTAAATGAGCTCAGAAGCATATTAAGCAATGCATGCGAGTAAGTTAACATGAAGAGAAACGCACCTTGAGGAGAGGCGCAACATAGAACACGAGCAAAAGCACGAAGTGACTGAGGAATTCCTTTCCCTTTTCCACTAGCAGACCTAACTTCCCTATGTCATCGTACGATTATTGTAATCAGTAAAAGATTTTCATCACAAGATATCACGTCATCACGCAGATAAACGCAAACAAGACTGGAAATGGAACAAAAGAAACAGAATATTTGACTTCACAGAGTACCACTAGATACGGGGGATAAAGGCCATCATGTAGGCAAAGGAACAAAAATAGGGGAAAAAAAGGAAATAAAAGAGATATAGTGCATCACTACCAACTTGTTAGTGAAAGAATCCATTGAAGAGTCGAAACCATTGACATCATTACTGATTGGTCTGTGATGTCTCTTCAAAAGTTCCCACTTCATTTCACAAAGGACGTCATGGTGAGGTATATTGACCTGGATCTTGACCTGAAAATAGACCAAGGGCATCCATAACATTTACAGATTACATATAACAAAGCCATCATCTGGAAAGAAATGATGTAGAACATGTATTCAGTATCTTACTAATTAACACTGGATGACAGATAATTAAGTGGCTTGAGTCTTCAAGCAAACTTACTGAACATAGAGATTATAAATACTCAACTAATTGCAATTACTATGCTCCCATGAAAGACATCCAACTTATCAAAGAGGTTTTAAAACAAGTGCTAGATCAAAAGTAGTCTTGGTCATGGAGTCAAAGGGAGAATAGTTTTGTTACCAAAAACAAACTTCTAGTCGAAGTATTAAATCAAAGTAAGAAGTGTGAATTAAGCAACAGAAACATTTTCGCAACATAACAAAGCAATCATTGTGACTATAGTGAACTGAAATCCAAGACTGACCTGGTCGTGGACGTTGTATGAAAGTGTAAACCCAAAGTCAAGAAGCAGGGTAGCATTTGAAAATTTTCCGTATCTTATCAGTACCTATACAAATATACAAATTGAAGTCCAGAGTTACAACTTTAAATAACCACTTCTGCAACATAACCATACTCACGAACTGCTCCAGAGGATGTTTCCATGTACCATCCATTCATACTAATAATAGGAAACCCCAAACTTCCAGTAATTTCTAAATATTAATTCCACAGCATATATCAAGCAATATTGTGCTTTTTACTCTAACATAGACCCTGTGTTCATGTATTGTGATCCGTTATCTGTTAACACACAATGACCACTGAGGAATAAAAAGTTTTACTAATTCTTTGTCATGAAAATTTCAAACCCAACGAGAGACATCTAAAACGAAAATGAGTGAAAAATTTTAATGAGTCGTCTACAAAAACAAAAATTGATCAAAATTCCAAAGGGTGCCTGTAATTTTAAATAGGGGAAACAAACCATCTTAATTAAGTAGCATCTAACCTGTTCACCAGGAGGATAATTGCGGTCAGCAATGACCTGCCCAGATAAATAACAGGCATGAAAAATCAAGAACATTGTTCACACATATCCCTGATATGTATAAACTTTAAAGGGAGCTAGTAATTGCAAATATAAGTAGCATATGAGAAATGAATTTGTTTTGCATCCCAATAACTGAACTAATATAAAGCAATAAAAACATAAAAAAGACTCAATTTCCATAAGAGTGCAGAATGAAAAAAGAGAATATAAAATTCTTGCACTCCTATAACCAAATCAAGATGTGAGATAGAGAATCAAAACGCAGAGAGAGAGAGAGAGAGAGAGAGAGAGAGAGAGAGAGAGAGTACCTCTGAGATATGTTTGTTGTTGTCACTCAACACTATTGATTCTGAAGTGCCGTCATGATTCAAAAAAATCAGCAAATGGGATCTATAAAATAAATTGAAAATCCAAAAATTCACATCTAAAGGGGAAATAATTGAACTTCCATCATAAAGTTCATAACACTATTTACAACGGAATCTTTATAAATGTGTTACCAGGGAATAACCCTTCATGCTTCCCCATGCTCGAGAAGTAACTGCGAAATCCACCACGAACCAGTGAGAATAAGTTGTATTATCTAGAATAGTTTGTATCCAGCAATCATATAAAATCGGAATGAATAGATATATAGGTAAATGGAGATATAACTAACTAAAGTATATGAAATTGGATGCCATTGAACATCTACACCGCTGCTGGCATTCATTCATTTTATTCAAAAAATTGGAATTAAGTACAATTGAAGCAATTTATTCAGACAGTTTAGGACATGAAAATGCTTTAAAATGGAGAAGCTTACCTAAAGCATATACGTGCATGAAATCCATAAAGGTGATACTTTTGGACATTTCAGGGAAGTTCTTGAGAGCCTGAAAATATGTCATAGCAATAATCAGAATCTAGAAGTTAATAACAAAGAAGTGATTGACAACCATCTCATATCTCAGGTAAGTATTGACTTGATTAGGTTTCAAAAGTTATTAAGTTGACGGGATCCCAACTATTCCAAATTCTGAAGAATGTGTGCCACCAACAGTTGACGGGTTACTCTGGTTGATTAATTTTGCCAGATCATTCAAGAATAAGATAAAGGGACATTGAATTACATGCCACCAACAGTTTAAATCCCGAATAGAGATGATGATATTAAACTTAAAGCATACACATGGCAGAGGTTCAAGCATGAACGTCCCAAAACCATTAACCAGTGTATGAAACAATCAAGTACTTACCGTCCTAATTACCAAAAATTCCTTTTTGATTTGAGATCTTTGATTAATTGTTTCCTGACATACAGAGCTTTGGCGAATCAGCTCCAGCTCATCGTCACTCCAAAATATCTAAGAATATACAAACAACAGCAAGTCAATAACAGCGAATTCTTGCCATTCAAGAAATGTGTACAACCAAACGAATCAACTACAAGTAAGGACCATTGCTCAGTTAAATTATTTTCCATTCATGTTCAACACATGCTGTCTGAATTGACCGTCTAACAACATAACCTACCAAATTATCTCTAGGAATGCAAATGATAACTTAATATCATATAACACTCACCGTGCAATGCATCCCTCCGGGCGAGGAAGCCAGCCAATGTAAGGGGTCCACCCGGAATCCTGCATAAACAAAAACCCCAAACTCCACAGAAAAAACCTTTCCACAACATAGTAATTAAACTAGAACAGCAATCCACATTGCACATTTTTTGCAGCATCGCCAACTCCATCGCAAAATATGGAATTACGGTGTTTGCGTGGGGTATGGATTATTGGCAATTTGGCATCATAAAATAAAAAAAAATGTAAAAGGTGTCGGGTTTGATGTTCCGAGTTGATGAGTTTGTTTGACAGGGCTACTGATAAGGTGAAAATTTTCATAGTTTTTCCAGGCTCGAAAGGAATGAATAATTGTAATTTACCACTAATTGTCCCATTTTAAAATATAAAAAAAGTTCAAAGAAATGATTTTGTCAACATTCTAAGTTGATAGTCATACAACGTATATATGAGAAATGTAGTCAAAATTGAATGGCTGTTGCTATAATGCCCCTCAACGTTTGGATCTTTAATATTCAATATTGTTATGAAACTATTGATGTACAAAATCGGGTTAATTTTAAAACAATGTGAAATGTCAAGGTGTGACGTTCGAAAAGTTGGTTCGGTCACTAAATAAAGATAGTGTGTAAAGAGATAGAGATAAAGAGAAAAATACAAGATATATGTTGTTCACAAGTTGGGATACGTCCACAAAGGTAAAAGAGCTCTCATTAATAATGTAGAGTTTACATGATACAAATGTTTAAGCATAATCATTATTAGGGAATTCTAATAATGGTTTAGAGAATCCAAGACTCTAAGAAGCTTGTTCCACTGCTTCGACAAGACCATTAACAATGAATGATAAAATTACCATATGATCAAAAAGCAATACAAAGATCAAATACGAAATTATCTTCAAAACATTACCTACTCAAAGAAGGAAATGAAACAACATCAATGGGTTGCTTCGAAAAATAACAAGGAAGACTCGTCAATTTGATAATGAAACTACCAACAAACAAATTGTACCATAACTACATTAGTTCATCATCTTTAAAAACGTTATAGTTAGATCCACAAGACCCCTAGATAACTTAGGCTAAGAATCCAATTGGTTATAGCTCGTGGGACATAATCTTTTTCTCCAAAGACAATTTGTAGTTAACAAAATTCTTACCAAGTCATCTAGAGGTATTGGTTTGGCAGAAGTACCAATTTCACATATTTGATGCATTTTGTTGAATTTTTACGTAAATTGACATAAGTGACTACACGTACATTAACATTGAATATGAGTAGAAAATTGGTAATATTTGTATTTTGGTGGTAAATTCCGACCACAACGGTGAAAAGATTCCAACCACAATGGGAACGGGAAAAAACCAAAGCAAGTTTCGGCAAAGCAGCAAATAACAAAAAAAACAAAGCGCAAAAATTTCGTATTGTATTTTCAAGATCAAAACCGTCTATCTGCCATAATCCAACGGTCATATAGTTTCAAATTTGGTTGATTTTTTTATAGAAATGATCTTTGAAAGAAGACCTATAAGATAGACAGTTTTGATCATTGACATACATTATGAAGTGGGTCCCATAACAACTTGTGTCAAAAGTTGTGTAAAAAAAAGTGGTATGCACTTCCTTCCGTTTTGGGGGAGGAGGGTAGGGTGGAGAAGCTTGCTATTTGGTGGATTGGAAGAGTTTGCTAATACTACTCTTGTGTCAATAAAGCTATATGTTTTGTTGTCTGTTTCTGAAAGAAATTAGCAAACAAATACTCTGTACATAAGTATAGGATACTGATTCTTTCAACGTGTCCTGTCCTCGCATTCTTAGATGTGAAATTTGACTTATTTGTTCGAGATTGGATTTCTATTGTATGCTCTATCATACTTGGACTCTAAGTCATAATGCTGCTATGTTGTTGTGAAAGATTCCCTGTAGTCGTAGCTGCGTTGCTTCCATATGTATGTTGGTTCTACTAAGTTTCTAACAACTGCTTGTGAATTTCTGATAAAATGGTTCTTGAAATTCATTTATTTGAGTTGGTACCGCGAACTGTTTCCTTCCTCAAATTAGATAACTAGACAAAGATTTCTGTTGACAGTTATACCAATTGAATTGCAGTTCGATTATTTGGTATTATCTAATACTGAATTCTTTATTGATGGCAGAGCAAATTCGAGTTTCAGCTGAGACTTCAAGAGTTTATAGAGTTGGTACGAGCTGAAAATAACTTGCGAGCGATCACATATGCTCAAAAAGACCTAGCACCACCATGGGGAACTACTCAGATCAAAGAATTGCGGCAGGTCTTTGTAGCAGTAGCTTATAAGAGTACTACAGAATGTGCTACGTACAAGGTGATCCATTTTTCCCTTGATTGGGAAATTCTTTTACGGAGTACTTTGATTCTTTGGCAGCCTTATAGGTTTTTACTAATCTGAAATTAACTGTGGATTGAGCTTTTGAGATTATGGTCTCTGTTTTCCTCACATCTTGTGGGAATGTGCTGAATAGGACAATGTGCTAAATGGTACCCATGTTTAGTTGAACTCATTACCATGCAGGAAAGATGTTTTGTTGAACACAAACTAGCACATATTTGCCTGCACCATGTCTTTGTGGTGGTAGTTCCTCACAGATTAATGCCTTCAATATTCCCGGTACACATTTTAGGACTAGGTTTTCAAGAATAGACTCATTTTCTGTGCCATCTCCTTGGGAAATAATATATTTTGAACTACACATTTTAGGGAGATGTATTGGTTTGGTGGTTCTATTTATCTTTGGAGCTGCATGGTACAGGTTAATCTCTGATTGTAATTTTTTTATTCTTTTGTTAATTATGTTTTCCAGGTTTTATTTGAGCCAAAGCAATGGGATTACCTGGCTGACCAATTCAAACAGGAATTCTGCAAGTCATAGGCATGACTCTTGAGCCTAAATTTATCTGCAAGCAGGCCTGTCTGCTCTTAAAACCCCGTATCCTCTAACAGTTGTTTATCGATCTGTAGTTTACTGTTTTCCACTTATCTATTAATCAGGAGTGTCCTAGGCTTGGTACAATCGAGTTCACTTTATATGGAGTTGACTCCCAAAGCTTCTTTGGCTTTGAGCTGCATCGTTGCCTATGTGACCTGCAGAACAAAACTCTAGAGCGAGAGGGTGAAACAGCTATAGCGTATGTACATACTTATGTGATAGGTATGCAATTTCACAGATCTGTTGAAGGCATATATATCATGAATATACATACCCTTTCAAATTATTCAAATTATTCAAATTCGTTGTTAATATGTAATTCTGGGATTTCTAACTGTCAAATTATCCTCCTCTCTGTCTCATGTATATAAAATCCGTTCCTGACAGACGTCCGGCTCATTCCTCAACTTGGAAGCTGGTATTACTGTTGGGGGATTGAAGCATGTACATATATATGCAGATTTACTTTCCAGAATTTATTTTCGAATTGCTGAACAGAAGTCATTCCACACTCGTTAATATTTCAATTAATTTACTCTCTACTGCTTTGAGCTGTAAAACTAGGACATCCTATGAAATTCGTGTGGAACTAGTGGAAATGCCTTTAAAATCCAATAAAATTCAAATATGATCCACCCCTTAAAATTTATCTCAAGCGTGCTGAAGAAGAAAAATAATGTGAAAATAATTTCTCGTGTTTAAACAGAAAGTTTTATAAACTTAAAGTATTAATAAAATGGATTTTCTCTTTTCTCGAATCACACAAGATAGGGTACACAAAATCATGGTTGAATGATAACATGTTGATTATGATGATGAGCACGTGGCTTGTAAATAGCATGTCAATGTTGCTATGCCAAGTACAAATCGTGTTGTCCACCTGAGTATCCTAGTTATCTTTTCGCCAAATCTTACAAGAAAAAACACAAAAGAAAAAGCCCCATAAAATATGGAGTCTCGGAGGAGGAAAGGATGGTGGGAGACATGCGAAAGGAATGTACATGAATGATTTCGCCAAAGCTTACAAGAAAAAGCACAAAAGACAAAGCCCCATAAAATATGGAGTGTCGGAGGAGGAATGATACTGGGAGAATGCGAAAGGAATGTATATGAATGATAAAGTACAACCACGAGTCAATTGATAACAACTTTTTGTATTTTGAGCCAAAAATAGTCATTACTTTTCTCCTTCATTTCCTCTATCATTTGAATCCCTTTTTCTTCTCATGTATACCTAAAGGAGTCGGATCAATGACACCACATTTTTAACACAATTTTTGAAATAAGTTTTTGTGGAGCCTATTCCGTAATATATTTCAACAATTTGAATCCTCTATTTCTTCGAACTATACCAACAAAATAGCACCATTACAAATCAACTCAAAAGAAGAAAAAAAAGTTTAACTCCATTCAATTATACGCCATTATAGCCCATTTTCTCTCTCTTTGGGCATCATTGAGAGGAAGTTTTCAGCTCGATAATCATACCTTTACAAGTGTTATTAATTTAGAAGTTATAACTTACAATACTAGTGAATAACACTATCCTTTTCTTCAAAATCAATCAATAATATTTAAGGTGTCACCGATACATCATATTGATAATAATGAAACTAGTTACACTGAAAAATGTTAAATTAGTAAAGATGAGATTCACTTCTATATTCACTTCTATAGCAACATTGACAATACTGTCTGAAGGATGATGCTAGAGAGATCATCTTTTTAAATCATATTTGTAGACGACATATGATGTGTCGGTTGATGGTTAGATACTTTTCTTAAATCATTAAAATATAATTCAACCACCACATCATTTGGTTTAAAAAATATGGTCTAAGAAGATGAAGCATTTCCTTATCTGAAGTTGATTATGGAAAACAATAAAACCATTAAAAACAATAATGTTTTTGTTCTAATATGCTTGGCGTGCTTGGATAATATTACTCGGATAATAATAACAATATTCCAAACCAATGTCACAATTCACACCACCTTTTTATTGTTCCATCAATTTTCATACTGCACTAGAAGCAACACCAAAAGAATCCCAAGAAAAAAAGTTGGAACAAAACTATAATTTTGCACAATCCAAACCCATAGATGTAGTGGCGGATGCAAGATTGTAACATTGGGTGGTCCTAATTAAATTACGCTAGGTGTTAGTCGGATGACGGGCTGGGTTTAGTGCCTATGTGCCAAGACAGGGCTTAGGCGGGGGCCTACGCAAACTAGGTAGATTTAAGTAAATTTATTATATATTATATAAATAAGTGTCTATCTACACTTAAAAAATATATACATGTATCGAGAATTTGAGTTTAATATTTTAATTAAGTTTATTTAAATATAACAAACAAAAATATCTTAATTTTCGCTTAACATTGTAGTAAATTTGATGGTACGATATAAAAGGTCAAGTGATTACAAATTCGTAGTACTCTACGAAATATTTTTTTAGAGGTCGGATGAATTTATAGTGAATTTTAAAACAAAAATAATGGTCTCAAACATATGGTATAAAAGTATTGGTTGACTAATACACCATCCCTTTATTAATTAAAATGCTAAGTGAACCAACCTGCCCTTTATTAATTAAAATACTAAGTGACACAACTTGATTGGACAACAATTAAGAAAAAAAAGAAAAAGAAAAATGGGGAGTCGGTCACGTGGGAAATAGAGAGAGAAAGCCTTTCTTCTTTGTTGGAACCAAGGTCGAAGAACAGCAGAATCATGGTGGTCTTCTCTATGTTCATCTTCGTCTGAAATTAAATATTTCTTTTTGGTTCAAAACTTCTGTTGCACAACATCGTCACAGTCATGATGGTCTTCTCTCTTCCACCACCTGCTCAGACCGTTGGGTGATCCTCAGAGGTCTTCATATGCGCTTCTTCGGACTTCTAGATGGACCTAGGAGCACCGGGGTCCATGAAATGGATCTGCCTTTGCGTACATGATTAGCACATTAAACACCGAAATCAACCACTTAAAAATCCTAGATTAACAACCTCGTATTAGTTGAGATTAAGATTCTTTCTGCGTTGACATTTCATCGGTTGTTCATATCGGAGGAAAGGATAGTGAGAGAGATGTGAAATCTATATGAATGGTATAACTACAAGTTATTTATTTATTTTTTATTTTTTATTATTTAAAGAAGTACAATATTCATTACACGTACAAAACAAGAAGACAATGTGCACTATCTTAAAAATATAGTCTAAAAAGTTGAATCATTTCCTTATCTGAAATTGATTATTGAAAAAAATCAAACCATTAAAAACAATAATGTTACTCGAATAATAATAACAAAAGCTTTTTATTGGATAATATTCTTGGCGTCGTTGGATAATATTACTCGAATAATAATAACAATATTCCAAACCCAAGTCACAATTCACAAAAGCTTTTTATTGTTCCATCATTTATCATACTCCACCAGAAGCAACGCCAAGAGAATCCCAGGACAAAAAGTTGGAACAAAACTATAATTTTGCAAAATTCAAACCCATACATATGTCACTACTACAAAAAGGCCTCATTGTGTCGGTTTTATATAACATAGTGGCGGATAAGACATTTCCGACATCTACTTACTATGGTGTTGGAATTATTGTCGGTTATAAGCGACATAAATTGTCTATATCGCTCTATGTCGCTTATAACCGACATAAACTGTTAATGTCGCTTATAACCGACATAGATTTTAATATTTTTTAATTAGTGTTGTTGCATAAAAAAAAAACCGTGTCGCTTGTAACGACATAAAGTTAGCGTCGGTTAAAAGAAGACTGGTGTTGCTTCTACCCGACACTAATGAAAGTTTTTAAATATTTTCAAAGCATGTGTTAGTTGTAGCCGACATGGATTTTAATTTTTTTTTAAATATTTTGAAACCCAGTGTCGATTGTAGGCGACAGATTGGTGGCCTTTATATTCCCTCCCTGTGTTTTCTTCTTACTCTCTCACATCTTTCTTATTTCTTCTTCCAATTTATAAACTCTCCCCCATGTTTTGTTCTTTCTCTCTCACATGTTTCTTATTTGTTCTTCCAGCTTCATTAATTCCTTCTTCTTCACAGTAAGTTTTTCTTGCTTCTAGTATTTTTATTTTCTCCTCTTATGTTTAATTTTTATTTACAATTTAATTTTGTAGGGATTTTATTTGAGCTAGTTGAGTACATAAAGAATTGATTGACGATGGAATTCTTTCATAATTCAGGTTTCGATCACTAAATTTCTTAATTTTTAAATTGTATAATACACAAGTTTATTTATTTAAAAATTCTAATTTAAGTATTTAGATAAATTGCTATGATTTATGTTAAATTAATAAATATTTAGTCTAATTAATTAATTTTGTCACTTGAATTGTTATGAGAAAATGGAAATGAATATTAAGCATTTTTGTTAAAATAACAATATTAAATATAACATAAATTGATAATATTTAGTAATATTACAATATATTATGTTAAATTAATTTTTTTGCACACTAATTGTTATGATGATATTCAAAACTTGAATTTAACAAACAATCAAGATTAGACGAGCATAATTTTGATAACTTTTTGTTGTTATTTTAATTTGTTTTTATTGTAATAGGTGTTGGAAATTAAAGGATTGCAATCGTGATAGAGTTCAAGGGTTGAAAGATAGAAATTGAAAATTCTAATAGTTATGCCTACATGAAATGGATTGAAAGATTGTAGGGATCTTAGTGTAAACATAATATTTTGCCTCGTAAAGTGGTAAAACATGTGGCTGATCCAAAATTCTAACACTGGGATGTCTTAATCAAGGTATGCTAGGCCTAATGCCTAGGTAGGGGCCTCTGCAAAATAGACAAATTTAAGTAAAATTATTATATAATGTAAATAAGTGTTTATTTACACTTAAACTATACTTATATTGGTAATTTGAGTTTATTATTTTAATTAAGTTTATTATTTAACATATAACGTACAAAATACCATAATTTTTGCTTTAGTATTTAGTAAATTTGATGGTATGAGATGAAAGGTCAAGTGACTGCGAGTTCGTATGAATTTATATTGAATTTAAAAAAAAATAATAATAACAGTGTCAAACATATGGTATATAAGAATTGGTTGAGTAATACACATCCATTTATTAATTAATATGCTATGTGGCATAACTTGATTGGACAACAATTAAGGAAAAAGAAAAAGAAAAATGGGGAGTTGGTCATGTGGGAAATGGAGAGAGAAAGCCTTTCTTCTTCGTTGGAAAAGGTCCAAGAACAACAGAGTCATGGTGGTCTTTTATGTGTTCCTCCTCGTCTGAAATTAGATCTTTCTTTTTGATTTAAAACTTTTGTTGCACAGCCTTCTCTCTTCCACCACATGTCCGGGCCATTGGGTGGTCCTTGGAGGTCCTCATAGGTGATTCTTCAAACTTCCTGATGGTCTCGGGAGCACCGGGACCATAAAATGGATCTGCCTCTGCATACATGATTAGCACATTAAACACCAACATAGTTAATCAACTACTTAAAAGTCCTAGATTAACAACCTCGTATTAGTTAAGATTAAGATTCTTTTTGCGTCGTCATTTTGTTGGTTGTTCATGTAGTGAGAGGCATGTGAAATGTATATGGATTGTACACAAAATATAACTACAAGTTAATTGAAAAGAAATTTTTAACATTTTTCTGTATTTAGAGCAAAAAATAAGCATACATTTTCTCCCTCATTTCCTCTATCATTTTTTAATCCCTTTTTTCTTCTCATGTATACCTAAAGGGAGCGGATCCATGACATGACCTTTTTTAACACAAGTTTTTATAGGATGCACTCCGTAATGTATTTCAACGATCCGAATAGCCAATCTCTTAGAATTATACCAACAAAATAGCACCAATACAAATCAAATCAAAAGAAAAAAAAAATTGACCTCCATTCAATTATATGCCATTACAGCCGATTTTCTATCTCTTTGGGCATCATTGTGAAGAAGTTTTCAACTTGGCAATCACATCGGTACATAATGCTATTAATTTAGATGTTATAACATTTAATACAAGTGAATAACAAAATCTTTTTCTTCAAAATCAATCAATAATAGTTAAGGTGTCACCCAATGAACTGATAATATCACATCATGGTTACAATGAAAAATATAAAATTATTAAGATGAGATTCACTTATGTAGTGGCACTATTATTGTCACATCTCGGCCCGGGGTCCACCACATCCCAAGCCCGCTCCATCACCGTAGCACGATATTGTCCGTTTTGAGCCTTGACCACGCCCTCACAATTTTGTTTCTGGGAACTCAGACGAGAACTTCCCAGTAGGTCACCCATCATGAGAGTGACCTTGCACGCTACTCGCTTAACTTTGGAGTTCCCATGGAGCCCGAAGCCAGTGAGCTCCCAAAAGGGCTCGTGCTAGGTAGGGATGAGAATATACATATAAGGATCACTTCCCTGGACGATGTGGGATCTTACAATCCACCCCCCTTAATTAGGGGCCCGACGTCCTCGTCAGCACACCACGGCCAGGGTTAGGCTTTGATACCAGATTGTCATATCTTGGCCCGGGGTCCACCACATCCCGAGTTCGCTCCACCACCGTAGCATGATATTGTCCGTTTTGGGCCCGACCACGCCCTCACGGTTTTGTTTCTAAGAACTCAGACGAGAACTTCCCAGTGGGTCACCCATCATGGGAGTGCTCTTGCACTACTCGCTTAACTTCGGAGTTCCCATAGAACCCGAAGCCAGTGAGCTCCCAAAAGGCCTCGTGCTAGGTAGGGATGGGAATATACGTATAAGGATCACTCCCCTAGGCAACGTGGGATCATACAATCCACCCCACTTAGGGGCCCAACGTCATCGTCGGCACACCACGGCCAGGGTTAGGCTCTGATACCAAATTGTCACATCCCGGCCCGGGGTCCACCACATCACAGGCCCGCTCCACCACCATAGCACGATATTATCCGTTTTGGGTCCCGACCACACCTCACGGTTTTGTTTCTGGGAACTCACACGAGAACTTCCCAGTCGGTCACCCATCATGGGAGTGACCTCGCACGCTACTCACTTAACTTCGGAGTTTCCATGGAACCCAAAGCCAATGAGCTCCCAAAAAGCCTCGTGCTAGGTAGGGATGAGAATATACATATAAGGATCACTCCCCTATGCGATGTGGGATCTTACAATTATCTAAAGAGTGATGCTAGAGAAACCATATTTTTAAATTATATTTATAGTCTACGTAATGTACCGATTGATGGTTTGATTCTTTCTTTCAATCATTAAAAGTGAAATTCAACCATGAACCATTACATTGTTTGAATTAAAAAAAGCCTAAACATTTTCCTTATCTGAAATTGATTGTAGAAATAAGTCAAACCATTAAAAACTAGGGTTTTTTGACTTTAATCCTTCAAGAAGATTGAAATTTAAAATAAACCAGATGTTAGATTACATATTGATTATAATCTCTTGATGTGTCCTTAATTCAAAATAATTAATGCGCATTTTATTTAATGTCTCCCATTAAATATTTAAATTTATTAACATACAAATTTTAATTTATTTTTTGACCAAAAAAGAGTTTTTTAATTATTAATTTTATTTAACATTTTTCAAGCTTGAAAGACTCAATTAATGTACCCGCTAGTACCGAAATGTATTATATTGAACTAATGTATTTAAATGTTAGTACTGAAATGTATGTACCAAAATATATGCACCGAAATGTATTATATTAAATTAATATACCTAAATGTGTGTACCGAAATGTGACATCCTACATCGCCCAGGGGAGTGATCCTTATATGTATATTCCCATCCCTACCTAGCACGAGGCCTTTTGGGAGCTCACTGGCTTCAGGTTCCGTAGGAACTCCGAAGTTAAGCGAGTAGCGCGCGAGAGCATTCCCAGGATGGGTGACCCATCGGGAAGTTCTCGTGTGAGTTCCCAGAAACAAAATCGTGAGGGCGTGGTTGGAGCCCAAAGCGGACAATATCGTGCTACGGTGGTGGAGTGGGCCCGGGAAGTGATCCCGCTCGGGCCGGGATGTGACAATTTGGTATCAGAGCCTAACCCTGGTCGCGTGTGTGCCGACGAGGACGTCGGGCCCCTAAAGGGGGTGGATTGTGACATCCCACATCGCCCAGGGAAGTGATCCTTATATGTATATTCCCATCCCTACCTAGCACGAGGCCTTTTGGGAGCTCACTGGCTTCAGGTTCCATAGGAACTCCGAAGTTAAGCGAGTAGCGCGCGAAAGCATTCCCAAGATGGGTGACCCATCGGGAAGTTCTCGTGTGAGTTCCCAGAAACAAAATCGTGAGGGCGTGGTTAGAGCCCAAAGCGAACAATATCGTGCTACGGTGGTGGAGTGGGCCCGGGAAGTGGTCCCGCCCGGGCCGGGATGTGACAGAAATATATGTACCGAAATTTATTAATATTGAATTAATGTACCTAAATGTTTGAATCGTAATTATGTACAGAAATGTGTGTATCTAAATGTATGCACCGAAATGTATTATAATGAATTTAATGTACTTGAATGAAGAATACAAAGTACATTGAAATATATTGTATAACAAAAATTAGTTTATCTAAATGTTTACAACAAAATATATTATGATAAATGAAATGAAATGAAAATTAATACATTAAAAATTAGGAAGAAAAGAGAAATAATTAAAAAATCAAAATATAATTAATAAATGAGGTTATTAATGTTTCAAGGGGCTAAAATTAGATTTTGATCTTACTCATAGTTTTAATCTAATAGTCATCTTTGCAAAGGATTAAAATGAAGTTTTATATAAAAAGAATAATGTTTTTGTCCTAATATTCTTGGCGTCCCTGGATGATATTACTCGAATAATGAAACAATAATCTTCCAAACCCAAGTCACACTTCACAAAACCTTTTTATTGTTCCATCAATCATCATACTGCACTAGAAGCAACATCGAAGAATCCCAGGACAAAAAGTTGGAACAAAACCTTAATTTTGTTCCAATCAGAAGTCTGTCTTCTCTCCTGTCTTCTCTCATCCAATCAGAAGTCTGTCTCCTCTCTCTGCAACAAAGACAACGCCACCTCAGGCGAACCGAAAAAACTATCAGACAACCACCATTTTGATCCTCTCGACGTCACGAGCTCGAACCCGAGCTCCGTTTCGCAGGGAACTGTGCACGGAGGCCCCATTTCGGAGCTCCGAATCGGACTAAGCTTTCCGATCGCCCACGGTGGTTTCCCAACGAAGGTAAAGTGTAAAACTTGGAACACTTAGTAAAGCGTAGCACAGTGTGCAAATGTTTCAAGTGAATTGCATACCCTCAAACCGCTTTGTCTTTATAATATTCAAATTTAAACAAGACCTAACAGACTTCTTGGATAGGGACTGTGGACTGAGATAACAAACTGAAGAGTTTGCATCCGAACTGGAAGTCTGACTCGGTCTAACAAAGAGTGGTAACCAGCTCAAATTGCTTCGTGTTGTTGTGTAGTTTAAATATTGAGGTTTGTTGCTGAGTTTGGAGAGCCTTGTATGCAGATCGAAGGAGGAAGACACCCTGGAGCTCCGGTGAGTTTTGTCTGATTCAAATCCAAGGGCCAGAATGGGAAATTACTCTGACATGCAACCTGAAGATGCATTAAGTTTATGGAGTGGAGAGGAAACTCAAAAACCACACGAATCTTTGGATCAAAAATACTGGAAGAAAATATTCCTAGCGTTGTGTTTGTGCGCTGTCTTAATTGATCCATTGTTCCTCTACATTCCAATTCTGAAGGATGATTTCAAGTGCCTTATGTTAGACCCAAAGTTGAAGATAAGAGTTCTTCTCTCAAGATCAGTCATAGATTTTTTCTATTTAATGGACATTATTATTCGAATTTATAGATCTGAAAACTATTCGAGTTTAAATAATGAACCTAACCGCAGACAACACCAGATGAAGTTCAATTTCGTATTGAAATTTTGTGTGCCAAGAATAGCCAAGACGATATGGGCATCAAATGATATCTTGATTGACATTGTAGCTCTTCTTCCCCTTCCACAGGTAAGAAATCAAATCCTTTTGTTGGAGTAATTGTTTTCCCCATTTACTTTGTGTGCGGCCAAAGCGGTTTTTCAATGTTAAATGCACAAAACTGACACACTGTGGGTCTTACATACACTTCGTTAGCGAGCGCATTAATTTTGTGTTCTAGACGGCTTTGTCATTAATCCATCGAGTTGCTCATGATATTATCATATTTTGATTGTTGATACTACTAATGTATATCCACTATCCAGGTGGCAATTCTCATTTTCTTCTCAAAAATGAGTGACTTGAGATCTTTGACTACAACAAGGATGGTTTTTATGAACATGTTTGCTTTATTGCAATATATACCACGAGTTTTTCGCATCTACCTCTCGTCTATGGAACTTAAAAAGACTCATGAAGAAGAGATTAGTGAGACTCCTATATGGATTAAAGGTGTACTCAATTTTTGTATGTACATTATTGCTAGTCATGTAAGTTTCGATATATATCCTTATTTATTTTTGTTTGTCGAATCAATTCTTATTATTCTTGTCTCACTTTTGTTTATTAGAAAGAGCGTGAAATGACTATTTTGAAATAATAATGAAGTAATGTTACATTTATCACCTAGTTGTACCATTATTTCTATCATATTTTTAATAGAGATAGGGTCCGCCTACGCATGTGGGTCTCATCTCTATTGAAGATGGTATAGCTAGATGGTAAGAGTAGCATTTTTAAAAATAATATCAGAAATATTTTTAAATTTTTCCCATTTTTGGTTGTTTATTTAATTTTCAGGTAGTCGGAGCCCTGTGGTATTTTTTTGCTATACAACGAATGATGATGTGCTGGCATTCTGCATGTCTCAAAAATGATGGATGTGATAATAGATTTTTTGGTTGTCATGATCACCACGCATTTAGAAATACCACAATTCTAAATGATTTATGCTCTGTCAGTGACAATTCATCAGACACAATGCTCTTCAGTTTTGGTATATTTGCTACTGTGCTTCAATATGGTGTTGTAGGATCAACCAATTATTTCCAAAAGTTCTTGAACTATTTTTGGTGGGGTTTACGAAATTTAAGGTTTGTACATTTTTATCTTTGTTTGTTGAAGAATTTAGGTTTAATGCTCTTTTTAAGGTCTCTGAATTTGTTGACAATTTACATTAATTTTTTTTGTTGAGAATATGAATATTACATCGAAAACTAAAGCACTACTTTTACAAAATAGAGTCGAGTAGAAAGACTCATAGAATTAACAATCAAGTTGAGAGACTAAAATGTTATCTTGGATAAATTTTAGGAAGTAACCGTAGAACCAAAACCAAATAACTTGAAATTGGTTATCATATATATTGATCCATTAATTTGATTTTTGCAGTTCCCTTGGTTCAAATCTTGAGCCCAGTGTAGATGGATGGGAGAACCTCTATACAGTTTTTATTTCTATAACTGGCTTGCTCCTGTTTTTATATCTCATTGGAAATTTGCAGGTTTGTTTAAAAAACTTTTCTTACACTTATCATTAAGTGCTAATTAATTACTCTAACAACGTAAACTTGATCTATGAAGATTTTGATATCCATTAAATTCACTCTAACCAACCTAATATATGTTAAGTATTCTTGAACTAATTATATGTTAAGTATGAATTTTTTCCTCACTAAATTTGAATGCCATGTATAAGAAATTTTTACTTGTAACAAGAATACTTGTCACGTAATGTATTTTTTACGTGTTATAAGTAGATGACATAGATGATATTTCCCCTTTTAGGATATATTAATAGAAAACCAAATATGTGTGTCATTTGAATGAGTAGTGACACCATGTGGCTGTGTTCTAGTTCTAGCTATAGAGAAATTTCTCGTCATGTATGTTGGATTTTAGGGTAAATTATATTTTACCCTTCAGGGTGCAATTGCAATCTCATACAACATCTTTAAAACATTTCAATCTAATGCGTTTACTTTTGTTTCATTTCAATTGATACATCATTTAGAAAATTTGTTAAGTTAACCGTTAAGTAATGACGAGATTACAATGGGTTCCACATTTGTGATGATGTGGCTACCACCATTGCGTCACATGGACAAAAACAAATTAAGAAATTCTTTTAATTATTACCTTAAGAAAATAAGTGATGTTGAACCCACCTCATTGTCCTATTTTTCCATCCACATTATTGTTCCACCCATCATAAAAAATTTACTCTCATTTTTCCACTCACTATTATTTCTGAAATAACCTTTATACCACCACAGCACCACACCTCCAATGTTCTGTTTCTACCACCAGTCCCTTCCCCTGAACTAACTTTACACCAAAATCAAGATTGCAAATCTCTAACAGTACAAATTGAACAAACACATAAATTTATCTGGTGAAAATTTACAACCTTGAAAGCCACAGTCATTGGTTTTGTTGGAGAGTTGCAGATAGCAAGAGATTTGCTTTCTCAATTCAACTAATTTCGTTCGAATCGAAAGAATTAAATTCAAAAAGTGAAAGTAAAAACTCCTATATCTGAGATTTGATTCAAATGAGTTGGAAGCTATCAAATTAAAGATGCAATTCAAAATTGCATTAAACGTCGAAAAGTTAAAAATTTATTGGAAAACACAACAAATTGATTAACATATTTGGATTCTTTACCTCGATGGATGCATCATAATCCTCAGCAAAATGGGTTTATTTGATAACAACATCTGATGTGCAACACGTCACCGTAAGGTTCTCGGCGACAACATCCAGGGCATCACCAAGCCAGCGAGAAATTTTTCATTGTATGTGGTATAGTACGACTTTTTATGCAAATTGTGAGAAATTTTATTTTTTAAGTTATTAACTTTTTAACACATATATCTCATCATTTGTATAATAATAAGTAGTATATCACCCTGTATGCCGGTCACACTGAAAAATCTCTCTAAGCCAGCCATCCACTGTTTGGCTTGTAGAGGTGGTGTGAACCGTATCAGCAACTTGATCAATCTACGAGGAGACACGTGTTGTGCTCAAGATGTTCTTGGAGAACGTGACCAGAGACGCCGTGACATAAACTGAGCACACTTGCCGAAACACGATGACCGCCACGGATGTGGTCTATGTGCTCAAGACGCAAGGATCGACCCTCTATGGGCTCGGTGGCTAGGGCTTTTTTGGGGTTTTCAAGTCTTGCTGTCAATAAATGGGTTAACGGGTTGGGTTTAGTTGTTATTACGTATTAATTAGGTGTCATGGTTGGTTTAGAATGTTAAACAATTGTTAGGGTTCTTGTTACGTAGCTTTGTAAAGTGATTTTGGACTAAGTTTCCTATGTGTGTTTGCAATTGGAATGGAGTTGAATGAAATGGTGGTGTTTGATCCAAAATTGTTATGTTTATTTTTATATATTTGTTTACTAAAGTCACTTCTTCCCGTTTGTTTCGATTACAGCAATTTATACGCAAGAGTTAGGTTCAGTTTTATGTTGTTTTTTTTTCTTCACCAAAAGCTGTTTTATTTTAATGTTAAATAATAAATTCTCTTACTTACTTTAAAAAACAATGACTTTTAGACATCGGTTTTTAAAAGCAACTTGTAGATTGTTTTTAAAAGTTACTTTGATAAAAATGGAGTTAAGCTTTTAATGAATATTTTTTTATTCTTGTAATATGCTCATTAATTTTAAAAAATGACATTATTTATTCTTCTAAACACATTTTATTCTTAGAAAATGACCACGACTATCTACCATTACAAACACTAAAGTCTTATACCACCACCACCACACCACAATAATGCCACCACAACCATACCCCCACCAATACCACAACTGTCACGACTATCATTGCCGCCACCACCATAAGCACAACCACCACTACTTAGTGTAGTTTAATATATATGTTTTTCTTATACAGTTGATATCAAAGGGTTCAAGGGAAGGGTAAATTTGAGATTTCGAGTGCAATTGTTATGCTTTCAACCAACTTGATTACAAATTTCTTGATAATACGATAATATGAGTAGTGTGCATTATGAAATTATGAGTTTTGCGGGAAGATGTGACAGTTATACGAGATAGATGTGACGGTTTTACGAGACCAGTCAAGTGAAAATATGTGGATTGTGCTTTAGTCATTGTAGTGGATCGGGTATGGGCCTATTCACAAATTGAATAGTCGAGTACAAATTTTTGGTTGCTATGGGCCCTAAGGTGAATTGGTAGTGGGATGGTGGTGGGCTGATTTCAAGTGAAAGGTCGTGTGCCTTTTTCACCTTTATGATTTTTTTGTTTTCAATCTTATTTTATTTTTATATAAACATTGCCACAGTGGCAAGTGAGAGTTGATTGTGATGGCCGGTTGAAAGGTGGGATGGTTTAAAAGGTGGAAAGTGATTTGTTCCGTTAATAATTGACGTAATGGGTCCCAGTCTTGAGATACAATTAGTGCGAGTTGGAAGTATGTGACATGATATTATCTTTGTTTTAAAAGAACTTTAACGAAGAGGGTTGGAGATAAATTCATTTTAACTAAAAATTACTTTATAACTTTATTTAATATAAAAGACCTGAAATTTAATAAGAAAGACAAGATACAATATAATAAGAACAAAAGTTAAAAGCCTCATCAATAATACGGAAGCCCATGTGCAACACTATTTTTTTCTCTCCAACCAATGCCCGTGACGAAAGTCTCATTGCGTCAGTCTATTCCATCATAAAGTTGATCCTCGCAAAATCCCTCACATCAAACTACGTGAAGTTTGTCGGGGCCACACTCCCATTAAATATTTGTTTGGTTGTGTACATGTCTCTGTCTGTCACATCTGTCTTCTGTTTCACGTGGGTCAAATTACCTTTGTTTTTTTTCTTTGTTTTCTGGGTCAAATCACCGTTATTTTCTATCTTTTATCTAGGTTTGAACGTCTGTGCCCTCACCCTTTTTCTCTTTTTGTATTTCCCTTATCAATGCAATTGTTATTCCTAACCAAAAAAATATATATATATATATTTAGCGAACAATATTGAGACTAATTCATAAACCCCAGAATATATTATTCAAAAGAGACATGTCAATCAGATGTATGACTTAACTTATTTGACTCGAAGGGCATTTTCGTAAACAAAAATCAACGTATTTGACTAGAAGGGTATTTTTGTAAATTCACTTATTAAAATTATTAAAAAAACCGTAAACAAAAGCGTCATCAATAATAAGGAAGCCCATGTGCAACACTATTTTTTTTCTCCAACCAATGCCCGTGACGAAAGTCTCATTGCGTCAGTCTATTCCATCAAAAAGTTGAATTTCCCCATTAGGCTTTGAACTACGTGAAGTTTGTCGGGGCCACACTCCCATTAAATATTTGTTTGGTTGTGTACATGTCTCTGTCTGTCACATCTGTCTTTTGTCACGTGGGTCAAATAACCTTTGTTAGTAGGTGAAGTGTAAAGAAATAATTTAAAACTAGTTAGTGCTCTTCAATATCCTTATCCAAACAAAACGTAGTGAAAATCTTGGCTCATAAGACTGCAAATCTCCTAGTTTTAAAACTCATTATTTTGGTTCAGTTTCAAAATAGGTGTAGTTTTATTGCAGTTTCAAAAATAGCATGAGTTATTTTGGTTCAGTTTTATAAATAATATTAGTTATTTTGGTTTAGTTTCAAAATAATGTAGGTTAATTTATTGTAATTCCAAAAATAATATTTATTTTGTTTCCTTCTAGAAATAATGTAGATTATTTTGGTTTAATTTTCAGAAATAGCGTGGGCTATTTTGTTGTAGTTCTAAAAATAATGTGGGCTATTTGGGTTCAGTTTCAGAAATAGTGTAGGTTATTTTGCTGTAGTTCTAGAAATAATATAGGTCATTTTGGTTCAATTTCAGAAAGAGTGTGGGTTATTTTGCTGTTGTTTCAGAAATAGTGTGTTTATTTTGTTATAGTTTCAGAAATAGTATGAGTTATTTGGTTCAATTTCAGAAATAGTGTGGTTATTTTGCTATAGTTTCAAAAATAGTATGAGTTATTTTGGTTCAGTTTCATAAATAGTGTGAGTTATTTTTCTGTAATTTCATAAATAGTATGGATTATTTTGGTTCAGTTTCAGAAATAGTGTGAATTATTTTGCAGTAGTTTGAGATATAGTGTGGTTATTTTGGTTCAGTTTTAGAAATAGTGTGGTTATTTTGATTCAGTTTCAGAAATAGTGTGGTGTTTTTCTATAATTTTAGAAATAGTGTGGGTTATATTGGTTCAGTTTCAGAAATAATGTGGTTATTTTGCTATAATTCCAAAAATAGTGTTTATTTTGCTCTAGTACAAAAATAGTATTTTGGTTTAGTTTTCAAAAATGGTTACAATCAATAATACTAAAACCAATATAAGAAATGTATACACTACCTTATAACTTTCACACCTTCCGACCATGCATATTTGAATAAGGTTGGCACCGGTGGAACCTATTACATTTTTACACTATTTTTTTGGTTAAAAACAAAACCAAAAAAAAAAAAAAAAAAGAAAAAAAAGAACTATGTCCCAACAGAAAAACAATGTTTTTTCCTTCTAAAAGTTTTTTTTTTATTGTAAATCAAATCAATCACTTTATTAGACTACAATATTTAATTGAATCTACATTTTTAAAATAATAAAACTACTCTCTAGAACCCACATGTTCTCTATATCCATCTTGCTCACTCTCAATGGCAATTTCCCACGAGCAAAGGGTGGCTGCCCTTCC